AAATATATTACATGACTAGAATGTGTGTTAACGTCGTTCCCCCCCCCCCCCCCCGATTCTGTCTCTGGATATAGACTTTGGTTTGGCGGAGCAGGAGATAGTTGAAGTAAATAATCATGCAGGCTAGATTTCAAGAGGAGTTCATTGTCAAGTTCACTTAGATACTTACAAGGGCTTGTTTTCATGTAGGTACTCTGTATCTGTCAGGCGCTCCCATCCTGGAGAAAAATCAAGGCGGTGAACAATGCAGCATTTTAGGAGCAAGTCGAGCCAAAGCCCCACAAAAAAACCCATGTCATGTAATTCATTGCGATAGATAGATTAACCTCAGTGCACCGTGGAGGCCTCTGCATTCTCGTCCACATTGTTCTAATGGCAGCCCACGGTCTTTGGGAATATCCTGTTGTTTTTTTTTTGCTCCTCTTTCTTTCTTTCCTCTGTGGCTACAGTTGACTGTGGGAGAGTAAATAACATTTGATATGCATAAACAGCCCCTTCCTATTCATTACTGTCAGAGCGCCGGAGTGCAGGAGGCGGAGGTCAGCATATGAAGGTCCTCCTCAGGCAGGAGAAACGCCTGTGGTAGCTGTCACTCCTCTGCTACCCCCACCACCACCACCACAACTCAACCCCCCACCCTCCCTCCATCACCTCTTCTTTCCTCTCTCCCCCCCCCCCCCGCCCCTCACTCCCCTATTAGCACAGGCTCCGGGTCATAACCTTTCCGTGGCATTTTGCGATTCCACAACTCTTTGATTAGTGCAATATTTACATATTTCACAGTGGAGAGGGCGTTCTTGTGTCGCAGACACTTGAAGTGTTGTAAATGCGTTTGGCCTTTTGCCTGGGAGATGCGGAGGAGTCGGACTCTCTGGTGGTAACTGTAGTCAAGGCTGCCGCGCCAAATGTACGCCGTAGTGTGTTTTAAGTATATTTACCCCTTCCACCCGCCCACGCCGCCGCGGCCTTTGCACATATACAAGTGCCATTTGGTCTGTGATGTGGCCCTTGTACTCCTGAGGAAGGCCGTTTAGCAGCCATTAGAGAGGCATAGTGCTCCCTGGTGGCAGATACAGATCATGCCCTCTGACTCTGGACAGAACATAGCAGAGAGTTTAAAGTAAAAAAAAAAAATAGAAAGGAAGCTTCAGAGAGATAACTGCTATTCATTCTTCAAGGCAGGAACCGTAGAAGGGAAACCATACACATTTATTCACAGTCGACGAAGCAGCGGGAGCAACTTGGGGTTGAGTGTCTTGCGACTTGTGACTGCAGTCACACTTAAGATGACCAACTACAGCTTAAGCTTTAATACGGGTTTTCCAAAGTTCCAAAGGTGTAGGGTTCTGTATGGGTCACTGATACTTTCTGATAGTACCAAACAATTAGCCCCAAAGAGAGAAAGTGTCTCAGCTTACAGTTTGAAAGAACAGGATTTCTTTAAAAAAGTTATGCTCTATTTTGGTTTATTTCTTGAACTAAACTAAACTTTATGTTAAGCGCTAATTCGCATAGTTCAAATTCAAATTCAAAAAACTTTATTTGTCCCCGGGGGCAATTCAAGGGTTAGGGTTAGGGGGTTTCAGCATATAAGATGAAGCTTAGAGGATGTACAAGGTAAAGTTTATACCTGCTATATATTAACATGTTAACACTCAGAAAATGTAAATGTACTGATGTTAGCATTTAGCATTCCGTATGGGATCAGAGAGCTGTCAAGTAATACTTCTGTAATAGTAATACCTCTCTATCTTAAAAAAAAAAAAAAAAAACGTTGTCTGACTTGAAAATAAAATGATAATTTATGACAGTGGAGTATCTTAAGACTTGGCTTTGCTCAGATTTTTTTTTAAAAGCAGGTAAACAGAATTTGTCCAACAACATCTAAAGCTAGATTGTTTAGAGTTACAAAAGTGGTCATGTTCCTAAGAAGGAAGAAAATCTGTCACAGAACAGAAGACGCCATAATAATGACAGGTTCGGAAAGTCTGTCTTTGAAACTATTCTTCAAAACTCACTTGTTTGAACAACAAACTAAAAGTGATATTTGTTTAGAGAGAAAAAAAAAAGAATTGAGCAAGAGATTAAATTCTGCCTACCTTCTTGTTCAATTGCAGCATGAAACGTGCTTGTCAGATTTGGTTTTTGTAAAGTTACCAAAACTGTCTGACAGAGCGCAGAGTTGAATACTTCAATAGAGGTTTGGAGAGGGCCTTTTTCTTCACTGATGGACTGATAGAATCAAAAAATACTGTTTCAAAACTGGAGTTGCGCCCACAAATATATTAGCTATAAACATGCATTCGTACTGATAAAAAGACATGTGTCCATACAACAGGGGAAGTCATCTGTAAACGAAATCTTACACCCATGTAAACACAAGTAAACAACAAGTCTTTTGTGACAAAAGAAAAAAAAAGAAAGAAAAAAGAACATTATACAGTGTTGTGTTCTCCACCACACCTATCCATCAAATCTGAGTCGGCCTGACATTCAGCTTATTTTCCTCCTCTGCCAGTCATTCAGTCAGTCGGCTTCTGACGCTGTGTGACAGAAAGAAGAGATGTCAGGGAACAGGTTTTTCAGGGAGCTCAGGGCCGTCACGTCTGCCTTCGCAGTGACTGATGAGGTTGGGAAGAGTGACGGGCAGCTGCAGTCTTTCCTCAGCCCGCGGGCCTGCCTGGCATTAACGTTATGTGCCATGTTCTCAGAGGGAACCTGTCAGTCAGCCGTCACTCAAACCGACAGACAGATGGTGCACGTAGACACGGAGCATGAAAGAGACTGGCAAAGCAGCAACCAATCCCTAGGTGGTCCCTCGCAGTTGAAGGGTGAGGGGTTCTCATCTCTGTTGCTTGGCAGCTCGACTTCAACCGCGCGGCCACACGTGGACATCAAGGTGCCAACGGGGCCCGATGAACATCAAAGTCACTATCCATCAAACATGTCACTCAGTATGAAAGGGAACAGCATGCAGCATGGCTAAGGTCTGATCTGTTTTCACCTCGTCTTCATGAATCATGACCGCTTTCCCTTTCTTCTTTGGGGTGATGGAGATTGTGTGCCGAGCAAAACAGAGCCACAAGGTTTGGGGAAATAGACTCTATTAGAAGAGCAGACGGTATTAGAGAAGCAAATTAGGATGGTAGACCCTGGGGTCTTCAAAGTGACAACCAGTTTGACTTAAAGTAACATTAAACTATTTGATTTTTGGAGGGAAGTGGCAGTTCCCTCCACTTTCTTTCTATATTATGGGAGAAAAACATATTTTTAAAAAGGACTTCAGGCTTAGAGATGGTAAAAATTATTAAGGAGAATTTACACCACGAGACGCTGATGTCAATATCACCGATGTAATTACTCAGACGTCAGTACCACCTGCCAATCACCACTGTGCAGATCCAAATGATATCACAAGATGTCAGTGCCAATGGGCATTTTTTGACTTTTGTACAATGGGAGGAGGTGGATGTGACGTCCATCCGCAGTCAATTGGGCAGACCATCTGTCTTTTTTCTAAAGTGTGATTAAAGTTAAGATGAATTGTCTTGTAACTATTCTTTGTAAAAAGTCCCAATCATCAGATCTTCTTATTTTATGTCATCACCTTGAGGTAATAATTGCTGTCATTCTTCACATGTTGCCTAACGACGAGTTCCTACATGCAGATGTTCTATTAAAAACAGTTTGCCTTCAACATGAAGCAGGCTACTTTTGTTTCACTTAAACTTGATGAGATACAGACAAGATAGAGAGAAGGACAGCTGTGGCTCAGTTGTTAAGAGTCGGTTGTCTCTCAGCCGGAAGGTCGGGGATTTCATTCAGCAACCTGTCCAAGTTGCTCCAGCTGCTTTGTCGGCTGCATGAGCTCAAGCTCAAGTCCATTTACCATTTACCAAAGAGTATAAAAGGACTAAAGACAGCATGCCATGGCTCACTGACATGATTAAAAATATATAAATCCTTATTCAATTTTGTTCTCCAAATGTTCTGATGGCAAATATTCCTATCAGGAAAATCTTTTGTTGCATGCAGATATAAAAATGTAGAATCCCGTTTGGTTTTATCAGGCGCAGTGTCAGCTCATTGTTGAGCTCTTCAGCTACAACCTTCTTGTTTTTGTTTGCTCTGTTTCAGTTCTAGCTGCAGAAAGCAGATGTTTTTATCTAAAAAGTTCCAAAAAATATACTATAAACTAATCACTCAGCACGAAAGAGCAGACATTCACTATGTTTTTGGATGTCACTACTATGAAAGATGGAGAGAAGTACTGTTCAAGTCATTTGTCAGTGGAGATAGTGGAGAATGTTTTACCTTTGCTTAAGTTATTTATCCTGTAGTTCCATTCTGGCTTTGGTTTTTGGACTGATTGCAGTGTATATTTATTGAACTATGGGACTGTAATCATGTATCTCTACATTTCAAAATGCCTGGTCTTCCAGCTCACCTGGCCTGCATGTATGGGCCAGGTGATCCCGAAGCAAAACATATAGGAATAATAAGTAAACCTCACACATACCATTTAGTACATGTTGACAGTGTTAAAACAGAGACAACATAATGGTAAAATCTCAAAAACAGCTCTATGATTATTTTCTTCTGCCAAAATGGTGACATATTCATAGCAGATTGTGTCGAGCTTCTGTTTCCTCTAGCTGAGGCCTGGGTGAAATATGGACATGACTGACTGGCTCTATTCAATATTTACCAGTCCAGCTTGTGTTCTCGTAGCTGACAGTAAAATCAGATGACAGTGAGTGACCATGGTGAGAACAAGTTGTGTTAAGAGACACAAAGGAATACAAAATATGCTCCGTTTTTAATCCTGTCAATATTCAGAGCACTGCATGCCTCTTTGTAAATTTCACACCATCAGTGAGAGCAAAAGGGAAGAGGAACATTTGCAGACTGCGAGCGCACGGAGCTTTTTCATCTAAACTTGGAAGTGTTCAGTCACACAGCGGCTGAGGTAAATTTAAACAAACAAGCGGAACCAGATGAAACAGCGCCAACAGGTGCCATTTTGTGTGTCTTTATTGTGGACATGACATTACATCTTTTTGAAATGATGTACAAAAGTGTAACAGAACTGAGAATGGCTCAGACGAGGTAGAGCTTTCACATCGGCTTGCTGGCATGAAAACTACACAGTATAAAAACAAAAACAACCCAGAAAAATCAAATTAAACAAACACTCCTGTCTGCCTCTGTCCTCGCATCCTTTTTGAAGTGATAATAAATACAGATATCAACCAAATACATTTGGAATAATAATAATGTCTTCTAAGGTAAATTAATCATGAAGTTCAAAACGAATAAAAAATAAAAGAAAGCAATACGGACACAAATAATACAACTTAAGAGGCATCATAGAAAGAAAAAAAACAAGCAAAGAGAAAAGAACAACACCTGCCAGCCCCTCTGGGAGGGCAGCCATGACTAGCTACTGAACAAATCCTGCAGTTTAGCAAAGAGAAAGACTAAAAACACACTCTTACATCTTTTTTTTGTTGTTGTTGAAAAAAAGTAAAATAAAGCACTGCTGCAACTAGCATTATCAAACTTTCCATGAGCTAAGCCGTCACAGAACAAACCCTTTGTCATTAAAATCTATGAAATTATGCTAACAAAAAAGACTCTAAACCAGAAATGACATTGAAGAGTGTTAGCCGGCACCATTAAAAAAAAAACATTCTCAAAGAAACCTTAGCTAGAACGGTGCAAACTGAGAACGGTTAAAGCAGTAACCTAGTCTAAGTGCACTATTAATGCCATTTGGTTTCTACCGCTGTATATAAGGGTTTGGTAAAGAGTGGATTACAGATATACACTTTATATTACATACACTCACTCCTGCTTCATAGTTTTTCTAAGTCACACTTCGGAGTACAAATTCATAACTGAGGAGTTAATCTTAAAGGGAATTCTGTACAACATTGGTATTAGTACTACACTACCTCCAAGGCTAGAGTATCCTTATTTCAAGTATTTTCACTACCCACACCTTCAGTATACACACCTGTGTATGATCAGGCATTTTTTTTCAAGCATACAATTTTGTATGCAGCGACCCACTGGTACAGCAACCATTTTCATTAGAATGTAAAAACTACTGAGGTTTTAAAAGAGACGGGATGTACACGACTCTGTAACCTTTAACCTGTTTGAATTTAGATTTTTTTCAAGTGTACAAAACCATCTCTACGGCTCTAGTCCTACTTTGTAATTATGAGTTTTCCGGATTTTTACTCCAATATATCAAGGCATGGCTTTTTTTCAATCATTAAAGGCTATTGAGAAGGGGAAAAAGCCCCAGGTACGCCTCCTATAGCAAAGAACAGTCAGGCCAACCAGCCAATGAACTTCAAATAGGTGTTCTTTGCTAAGGAGGTAGGCCAGTGTACAAAGCATCTGCAGGGAGGCTGCAGGACAGAAGTGAGGCGGCCTCTTATACAGTGTGGAGAAGTTTGGAACAAAAAGAAACATACACACACACACACACACACATCTGTGTTAAGGCTGTGACAGCTCTACAGCTTCCTTCAAAATCTCCATCTGGTGTGTTTATACCTGAACTCTCTGGAAGCCTGACCTCAGACCTCTGGCTGTTCTCTCTCTCTCTGACCTCCTCACTCTTTTCTCCTCGAATGCAAATCTTCTCATCACCATTCAAGAAACTAGACTGACAACACCAGGGAGTTTGGCTTATTAGTAAAGTAGCACCGTAACTCTGGTTGTTTACTTTTCCAGGTGAGCGCTAATATGAAGTGGACATGATGAATAAAAGGTCATGTTATATTATGTTGACAAACTCGACAGGTTTGAAGGAATAAGTCTGCTTTATTTTAGGTAATCAGCTCGTTCACTGTCTTGATAAGAGTTGGATGAAAAGATTGATACCACTCTTGTGTTTTGCATTCAACATGATGGTAAAGCAATTAGCTGCTAATTAGCTTAGCTTAGCACAGAGCCTGAATACGGACTTACTTAGTGTGGCTCTGAATGCTACACTACAAAAACACGATGGCTTGAAAAAGGTGAAAAAGAGAAACAGAATCTGTGTTGAAGACTTGTATTTTTGGAAATAGTGTCACTCTTTCCAGTGAAAAACTTTACAGTTTCTGTGAAGTTGAGTTTTTTAGGTTTTTTTTACTTAATTTTTACATCTTAATCTTCACAATTCACACAGCATATCATTTTAGACCTTTTAAACTTTATCAACAAATTGGTCCTAGCATCTGTTTCTGTACAGTTAGGATAGCTCAGAGCCCGGCTAAACCTACTAGCTGAAGCTAACTTATTCTGTACAGTCAAAACGATTTCTTCAAAAGTTGCAGGATTGGTTTGGTATCAAAGCTTTCATAACATAATGGGTTAAGGAGACTGAAGGGCCAGAAAGCTATTGGTTCCCTTCAGAAATATGAAATTAAGCTAACTCTAGCAAGGCCATATTTTTGTTAGCAGGAACTCAAGTTGGGAGCTATATAGCATCTTCTCTTAATTCCAACTGTTTTAGAGTCAGTCTAATTCAAAGTCAGAAGGATCTGTATCTGTAAACCTCCCCTAATATGAAGGAGTTATGGATGAAAACTGCCTCCACTCAGCCCCTTCCTCTTAAATGGACAATAATTGAATGACCATAAAAATGGTCCGCTCATTTATATTGGCTATTAAAAACGCACACTCTTTTTAATGAGCACTAAAGCAGACACCCCCATTAGCGTTCTCTCCCTCTCTCTCTTTCTCTCTCTCTCTCTCTTGCTCTTTTAATCCCATCTCTCTTTCTCTCTCTCTTCCTTTCTTCTAATCATCAACTGCACAGACTCAGAGTGGTCACTGCACTCCTAACATTACACTTTGGAGTGTAGGGAAGTTTAACCACACACACACACACAACACACACACACACACACACACACACACACACACACACACACACACACACAGATGGAAGTATTCCTATTTATGAGTCAGATCCCAGTGTCTGTTGACTGTTGATGAACTGCAGAGTGTCTCTTGTTTCTGATGATTGGTGTCCTGAGGAATGCACAATTCTTTTACTATAAAGCTTAGAAAAGGGAAAAGATGGGGGCAACTACAGCAGCCATGCAATGCCACAAGTCATTGATTTAACCCTCGAATTTAAGCTCAATTTATTTTTTCATTTTTTCTTGTAAAGCATGCCCGATGGCAACTTCTTCACCTGTTGGTACCTCCAAAAAGGCAGCAAGAGGCAACTCTTTACATTTTTTTGCAGGCCTTTTATAGTCATCATGAATCATTAAAGGTGATGTAAACTACACACAATTTATTAACTTTCGTCAACCTTCATTTCAAACAAGACCAAGAGGAGCACCGATCAATCAGCGTTAAGTCCAGTTTTCCTGCTGATCGGACATTTCTCAGTTCAGTTCTTCATTTCTACTGCGTGGGGGGGATTACAAGCCAGTGCGCACACCTGACACCAGAAAAGTCTTTCTACAAATAGATGAGAAACTCTTGTCTTCTGATGTCAGTCATTTTGATTTTAAAGTTGCTTGACAACAAGCTTCATATATAGAGAAACAAATATTTTAAAAACTACAAGGGCCTTTCAGAAACATATTTGAAGGGATAATAGATGTTAAGTAGAGGCTTGGGTCCATCCTTTAGTCCTCTCATTTTTCAGAACAGTGATGCTGTTTTTGTGGATGTTTAATTCCCTGACTAGTCTAGTCCACAGTCCCGATCCTTCTCTATCCGTTGTTTGGTGGGTGTTTGGCATCCAGCGCTCCTTGCTCCTCATGGCTCAGAAACAAACTCCTGGTGTCGGGGTACTGGCTGTTGTCGAAAGGCATATGGTGGACACTCTGGACGTGCGTCTTTAGGTTCCCTTTCTGAGAGGCTCGGTATGGGCAGAGCTGGCAGCAGAATGGCCTCTCCCCTGGTGAACAGACACACACACACACACACACAAGACACACACATAAATATGAAAGGTCAGGAGGAAGCCAGAGAGGACTCATACATTGGATTTAGTGACTTTTTAGAGGGGATTCAACATGACAGAAGAATGTGAAGCACAGAGACTGTGGCTGCAGTTGGAAAGAAAATGGGGAAAAACAAGAAAACACACCAACAAACAAAGACTGAGACTCATAATGGCATCCAGCTGTAAATTAAACCTTCTGCAGGTTAAGAGTAGCATTTAAGTTGAACTTCTCTTCCCTATTTTGACCTTGATGGACTCACTCTACCTTTTTTTTGCCATCTGGAGTAGAGCTACACACACGTCCTGTCTGAACAGTCCGACTTTTGTCTTTATGAATTTCTCTCAATCACCTAGTCTATTCCCCCCCCCACACACACACACACAATGAGATTCCACACACACCCTATACTCCCTCTTCTAATTAGACTGACCTACAATGGCACAGACACCTCGGCAGAAATATACGAAATAATAAAATAATAAGCCACACACACCTGAACAAAACAAATGAGATTGCCATTTAATTGCACCTAATTATCATTTTGATAAATGGAAGAGTATCAAAGCGGGAAAACAAATGACTCCCCATGCCCCCCTCCCGCACCCCTCTCCCTGAAGAAGAAACAAGGAAATATAGCTGTTATCATACATCATCAGAAACACAACAGAGAGGAAGAAAGAAGGAAGAGAAAGAGAAAGAGAGATAAAACAAAAAAAGGTGTAATTAATCACACAAAAATCTAAAAAAAAAAAAAAAACAGCTGGAGAGATGGCGAGGTGGAGACGTGAGAGGAAAGCGAGAACCTCCACGACATCGTCCTGCGAGAGGAAACATCGCTGACGGAACCAGTGCACTACATTATACTAAAGGTTATCGTCACCGTAAAGCAGCGTCAACACAACATCTAATTGGACCTCTCCGCCGCGCCTGCTCCCATCATTCATGGCGTGCGGTAAATCTGAGTCCATGCGGGTGTGCGAGTGTGTGATGTGTGATTAATTAAGATGGAGGCGCGGTGTGTAGAAAGCAGCACTCTCAGAATGTCAGAGCAGAAACTGATTTACTCCTCTTGTTTCCTCTGCCTCGACGCTCGTCTCTGTGACAAACTGGAAATCTGAAATGTCATTCGACAAACTACGAGGGATTTCGTAATCAAAATTGATTTACATGTTCACCACTCACACTACGTTTATTTTTCTTGTTTCAAATGGAATTGATTTTATGACTGGTCAAGGACGACTTATTTTCTCATCACATTAATACAATAGTGTCTTAAATGTTGGAAACAGAACACCTGAAACCTGCTAAGATCATCTCATCTCTACTATCTTATTATCTTTTGTAGTTAGAATTTGTGTGGGTGTGTGTTTGGGGGGGGTGGGGGTCTCAAGTTTCTATCTTTGTACCAATACAGTGATCTAGTGGTCTGTTCAAATGTAACTTATTCAACTTTAGCATGTGTTTGTGTTTCGCTTCTGAATGTTAAGCCATGCATTTTCCTCTACATGCAGATATTTGCAGGTTCAACACATCATCGTCTACACATGTCCGTTGTCTTTCATGCTTGCTATGTTACTGTTTGCAGCCAAAAGTAGAACCAAGTTTGTAGTTTTATTTTAAAATGTACATTGAGTACAGGCCAAGACAGAACTTTACATTGTAAAATGTGAAGAGGTGATACAGATATAATCAGAAATACTTTGTTCTAAAGAACCCTACAAGAAGCAGTTAAAAACATGTATAGTGTGTGCTTGTGACTTCGTCCAATCAGGTATGTAAGAGCCTTTTCTAAATTGATTATGGCACCATTTGTGTTTTTGCTGTAATTAAATTGTGAAAGTGATTTGAAAAGTTTTCAATCAGCCAGCTGTGATTTTTACGCTGGATACACATGTTGTGATCCAGCAGAATGAGAGAATGCCAGGTGTTAATGCAGGTGCAGAGGGTGCCACATGTGACTGTTACACATGGAAAAAAAACAACAACAACAACAAAAGGATGTTGATGCAGGATTGACACACACACACACACACACACACACACACACACACACACACACACACACACACACACACATGCAGAGGTGACACAACAATAAAAAAAAAAAAGCAGAAACATGCAGAAGCGATGAGGGAGCCCAGTGTTAGCCATCGTGCCACATACTTGTTTGGGAGCTTCAGAAGCGGTGGTGTGAGCGTCAGTACCTCTGTGGAGTCCGTTAAAATCAAAACCAACTGTGGGGGGAGAAGGAGGGGGGGGTGTGGGGAGGAAAAAGGAGGAGGAAGAGGAGGAGGAGGAGGAAGAGGGGGAGGAGGGCATTCGGTTAAAAGCGCTACCAGATCCATACAAGCAATTTTTTCTTTTTCTTTTTTTTTTTTTTTTTTTTTTTAATTCCACCAGCACCCCACACAGCAGCGTTTGCCACCAGCACACCCTTGCTAATAGAGGGGAGCTGGCAGTGAAGATGATGGTGATGATGGTGCTGATGATGGTGATGGAACCTGGTGGAGGAGAGTCAGTGATTTAATATGACGCATGTTAATAGAGGCCTCGGGGTGGCTGGCCTTTTCTGCGTGTGCAAGTCAATGCTGAAGACAACCGTCGGTGACAACATTAATTACAGCCTTGGCGAGTGTTTACAGACCCTATGCATGGCCGTGTGTGTGTGTGTGTGTGTGTGTGTGTTTGGTAATGCAGTGTGTTTGTTTACAATGCAGCTCCGGGGGAAGCTGAGTTCTGCATCACTTACCATTTGGCCTCTGTCACTTGGAATCACTGGCCGTGCCACATATCATTCACACTCTCTATAAAGAAGCTACTTATCACACTGTCTACTGTGATCACTGCCAGCATGGGTGATGGACATGACAGCACAGGAGAGGGAAGAGAAAGAGAAGGAAGAAGTTGAGAGAGAGAGACGTAAGAAGATGAGAGAAGAAGAGAAAGGATAGCCAAAAATAAGAGAAAAAGACAAGAAAGAGGAGAGGAGATAAGGTGAGATGACAAGGGGAGAGGGTGAACAAGAAAGAAGACATGAGATGTTGGAAGTGGAGGGATATAAGTCGGAGACGGCAAATACAAAAAAAGAACTAGAGGAGAGGAGAAATGGAAATGAGAGGAAAAAGGGGGAAAAAAAGATGTGAAATGAGAGGAAGGGAAACAAGCATGAGGAGAGAAGAGACCATAAGAGGAAACGAGAGGTAAAGAAATAGCAATCCGGGGAACAAAAAAGATAAGATGGGAAGAGAAGACAAGACAGAAAATATGAACAGGAAAAGCACAATGAATCATAGAAAACAACGGAGGGCGCAGAAGAAGATGAGAAGTAACGAAAAAGTAGTTAAAGGAAACGGGATGGGGAATTAAAAAAGATAGAAGAGAGATATAACAGGGGGGAGGAAACGAAAGAAGCAAAAATGTGGATTAGAGAGAACAGAAAAAGGAAGGAAAGACAAAGTGGACTGAAGATAAGAGGGGCTGAAGTCAGACGAGACAAAAGAGATAAAAGAAGAGAAAGTGTAACAAAGAAAAAGAAAGGGATGAGAGCTGGGAAAAGAAAGGAAATAAAGGGGGAGAAGTACAGGAATGAAAAGGAAGGGGCCGTCATGTAAGGGAATGCATTGGCTTTGAAGGAGATGGGAGTGGAGGAAAGGACTGAGACACAGAGGGAAAGTGATGAGGGAAAGCATAAAGTAGAGGAATGGGAGTAGAGGTATGCCTAAATCAAGCTGTTTGGTGAATGGCATCAGGACACATGCAAATGTCCTCATAAGGTTTGCGAGGACAAATGCTGCTCCGTCTCATTAGAATGCACAATTCCATCTCTCTAATTGACATGTGATTAATAATGTATACAATTTGTCACAGGTCAGTATCCGGAGCAAATCATGTTTCAGTTTTAAAAAATAGAGACAGCTGCCCAGCCCAGGGCGGGGACGACTCACAGACCGCCTGTCACACTCAGCTGAAGAAAAAAAAGATGTGTTGTGATTTATCTCGGAGTCAAGACAATGAAAAATGTTGAGAATGTTGAATCCCCATGCATATATTCTCTATATCTCATGCGATGAGTTTGCGGGGTGAATAAATAGCTGCGAGGACGATGATGTGTGTGCAGGTGAGTGACTGTTGGTGGAGTGGTTAAAAAATGTGGGAACATTTAGTTTTACATGAATAACAAGTAGATAATAAGGTTGTTCTTCAGGTTCATGCTGAACTTTTTGATTCACTTCGAGGTTCTGCTTCTTCCTCGCTAAATGCTGTTAGTCTTCTGTGACTGATGCCCCAGCGACGTGATTAATGATTATATTCTATCCATAATGTCTTTTGATTATTCCATATGCATTTGAATACTCATGTTTAAAGAAATATCACGGGACTTAGTCTTCTGTCTCTGCTCCTGGAGAGTGAGGCTCTGCTCTATCTAAGGCACAGAAACCTATGTGCACCAATAGGTGTGTGTGTGTTTTTGTTCCCTGTACTGTTTGTCCCTTCTCCCCTTCTGTTGTCTCCCGCTCTGCCCAGATGGAGCTACGGATGCACCATGAGGTACCTGGCCTCAGTGCTTAAAAGCCCAGTGCTGACTTCTGAAGGCAGCGGCATTTGGAGCGGGGGACTGATGCCAAGCTGCCCCTCTCAGGGGTTTGGTGTTTTTTTTGTCGTCTTATCCCTGAGTTGATCTCGGTTTTAACATTTAGATATTTTCGAGTCTTATTGAAAGTCATGGATTTGAGTCTTTCCTGGTGTGTTCTTTGAATTTATTTGGTCATGCTGTGGGTTGTTGTTCATCCCATATGTTCACCTGTTGGTGTGGAGTAACACATACAACTTTTTTTCAGATGTCTGATATATCATGACCTGCTGGGCTTGATTTCAAACAGCTAACAGACCAACTTTTTTCTTTATGGCAAACACAAAGTATTGACATAATAGAGGTTAATTTATTCATTGTATATGTTTGGATCAAGCTTAAGTGAAAGTAGGTCATCTTAATTTAACTGTAATACGCATTTCATCATTGTGTCACCTGAATCACATGTTTGAATTGGTATAAATTGAAGGATTGCTACTTTTTATAATGGTTACAGTTTTAACTATTATGATTATATTCACAAATACAGCAGGTCATATGCTCGGACTGTAGTGGGACTCCAACAATGAGAAAGTGAAGCCGATTTTCATCCAAACAAAAACATCTGAAAATCACCAGTACATATACAATTACATAACATTTTTTGGATGAGTCAATTATATTTCTTCAGACATTTCAATAATGTGTATTTATGCAATCTGTGTGTTCCTGTATTACTTTTGTAAGACAAACTTTACCTGTATGGGATCTCATATGGGTGCGCAGGTGGCTCGGCTGGCTGAAACTCTTCCCGCACTCGTGGCAGAAGTACTGTCCCTGCCGCATGAGAGACCTCAGCATCCCTGATAGAATACACAGGAGAGGAAAAAAAAGAACACGATTACACCAAGTAATACGTTCAATATTACACATTCAACAAAAAAAAAAAAAAACTGAGCTGAAGTAACTTTTGTGGTCAAAAAAAGATATTGAAAAAGTCCACCTGATTTTATCTCAGTAACAATAATTTGCTGTATTTCGTCTTTATTAGGAGTTGTGAGCTTTGCCCCTACCGTATCTTGAGAAGTTGAATTAAAATCATGAGCATATTTTGGGCATAGGTTTTAGATATAACCACTAAACTTTTGTAAAAAAAAAAAAAAAAAAGGGAAATCAGTATCAAATATTCTGACTGACTTTTTTGAGTTACATGTGCACATACAAAGGCCAACGTGTCCTTAAATCACATATGCTTTGAATTCCCATGCAAGATTTCACATGTGACTTTTTCTAAGAAGAGCAGGTGAAAAGGTGAACATCAGCATCAGTTTATTCTGTGTCAGAAGACATTTCCATGTTTCGCAGAGATTGAATGAAGACGTAAAGGTCAGTAATGGGCAGAGAGTGAGTGGGGTGTACATAAGAGCAGAGGCCGGCTGGATGGAGCGGCGGTGGTGGAGGGAGGTAGGTAGCGTCAGTAGTGGACTCGCGCCGGCATCATTAGTATGTCTAATGTGTCATTATGAGCGGCTAGCTCCAGGGGCTGGACTGCAGCTGTCACACAGCATCATCTCAGAGGCTGACAGCCAGACACACACACACACAGCACACACACACACACACACACACACACCGCATAAATTACAGGCAATTAAAACGCCCCGGCTGTGATGTGCCTGCTCTGCTGCCCGTGTGTCACATGTCAGGTGTGTGTTTCTGCATGTGTGTGCTTTAAGAGTTGTTTTTATGTGTGTTTGGTGAGGCATAGGCTGCACACACTTTCTACTTTTATACACACACACACACACACACACACACACACACACACACACACACACACACACACACACACACACACACACACACACACACACACAATGACACAACAACACTCTATATGCACAACACAAGACAGCTTCACATGTTAATAGGGCACAATGAAAAAAGAAACTTGTTGAATTTGATGACTTCAAAACTCATAAATATCAGGTTGTTTCCACTTTGTTTGTTCAGGTGGTGAAGCGATCTCATCATCCGTGCACATCTTTAAGTGCCCAACAAAAAACCCCTTGACCATCTTTAAAACACTTCATTAACATGTGAGAAGAACTTTGATTCTTTCATGTGCCTTTAATCAATCGGGCAGTGGACAGAGTAGCAAACCAGGGAGAGAGAGTAAGAAATGACATGAGGGTGAGGAGCCAAGGGCCAGACTTGAGACGCCCGCTTGGAGGACGATGGCCTCCTTACATGGGGCACGACCTAAACCGCTAGTCCACCTGTGCCCCGATCATGATTCTTTCATCATTTTGTTTTCAGTACATGAATCAATATTGATGCATCAGCCAATAAGAAATTAGAAATCAAATACTTGTTTTATAAAGCCTCCAACATGAGTTACAATGAGGCGTCTCTCTCTGTATCAGAGGGATCATCAAACTAGATTGTTTAGAACACTTGTTGATATTTGCATAAAATGACTCTCGATACGTCTTTTCAACATCATTATCAGCCTGAAAAATGTCTATACTCGGTCCAACTATAGTCTCCATCACTTTATGTGTTATACTATTAAACAAATGTACATCAAGTCTGGAAAACCAGGCAATGTCTTACTCCAGACAGTAAAGGGGAGTTTTGAAACTCTAATGAGGCAATATGAGAAAAATACAACCAGGAAGTTAATTGTTAAGGGACATGAAGCCCCAAATGTGTCAGTAAAAGAAGACTGAAAACAAAAAAAAGCTTTGAGATAAAGAAACATGTTGTAACATGTTGAGGGTCAAACAAAATAAGTGTATTTTGTGTTTCAACATTTTCATTATTTTTAAATGAGATGTTTTATGAAGAGCTGTCAGTCGTGTAATAATCGTCTTTATTGCTGGTGTTACATGTTACTATGTTTTAAGACGGTGTGGTGAAATGGTGAATATTAGAAACAAACACAAACTAATGCACACAAACACATGCAACATGCACTCCTGTGACCTCGCCTGCTGACAGATAACATGCCTGGGGGCTGGGGATGATTTTTGTACTACACTCCCCCAAAAGCACCGAGGCTGGTATACTACACCTGGGCAGTGCCCTATAGATGTGTGTATATGTTTGTATGTGTTTGTTCCATGTAGACGGAAGGGGGGGGGGGGGGGGGGGGGGGGAGCAGGACAAGGAGGACAGAGAGGCGGAGGAGGTGACAGAGAGTGTCTCTGGCAGCCCGACTGCTGGCCTCTGGATACTCTACTTGTACTCTGGGCAGCCAGCCCTTCTCACTGATGCACTAATGAAAGACAAGACAGAGCTGGACGGGAAAACACAAGCAGACACACACACACACACTCATACGAGTTTATTACAGGGAGAAATGGGAGAAAGACTCAGTTGCTCAAAAAAGGTCACTTTATAGCATGTGACTCAAAGGGCTAAGGCGGGTGGTGACGATATGCGCCTGGACGGCTGACAGCGATGTCATGCGTCCGCTCTGGGGCTGTTGTCTCTGACCTCTGGCTCTGTACAGCCCCACTTGACCTTAGAGACACAACTGAAAAAATGGGCAAATAACGTGGATGTTTGGTAATGACCATTTCCAAAGCAGCTGGTGGGGTAATTATTCTGTCTCATCTTTCTCTCTGCCTCACATGTTCCCTCTTTCTCTTCTCTCTCTCTCTCTCTCTCTCTCTCTCTCTCTCTCTCTCTCTCTCTCTCTCTCTCTCTTTCTCTCTATCCCTGTTTCGCCTCGCTCCATTCGCATCTGTGCGAGCCTCTCGTCAGGCAGAGCCGTGACCTAAACAGTTTGTGACAGCTTTCTGGGAGAGTGGAGCAGGAGCCTAGGCATGCCTCGCAGACCTGAGAGAAGCAAAAGGTTCTCTCACGTCTTTCAAAGTAAAAGAAAATCACACACACACACACACACACACTTTTGCATCTAAAACCCAAGCACATATGGACACACATGCACAGGCGCACACACTGCCCCAGTTACAGCCTTTTATTTTATCTTAACAAACATGCAAGCATGTGCATTCGATGGATCCTCTCCTTACTAATTCAGAACCTTGATGCTGTGTCTGTCAATCACTCTCATGCCAGATGGCGAGTTAGTGTGAGGGAGAGAGTCAGTGTGTGTTAAAGGGGGTAGATATTTATCAATGATTGAATATGGTTCATATGTTAAGTCTGGATCGCTGAGTCTGTTGGGTTCTTTTCCTGTGTCAGATTACGCTAACTCTACTCCAAACTATCACAATGCTCAGTCATTGGAAAACATTCATCTTCAACTCTTGACATCTGGCATTTTCTCCAATGCAACTGTCCTTACCCTACCTCTGGGGATTTTTGTATGTGAGCAGACGATGAGGAGAAAGAGCCTCTCCCACTTGATGATGTTAATAGTGTTGTAGTGCCTGAAATCAGTGTTGGTCTATATGATGGGTTAATGCCACTTTTTTAAAGGTTTTGCCTCGTCTTAGACAGATACATTGTTTACTTAGTCTTGTCTTTCAATTGGATAAGAAAGCTAAATATGAGACATATATTTTACACATGAAGTAGCTTTGTGTGTCTGGCTATAAGTGCATTGCAATTTGAATCCACAGATGCTGACCAAATATATATTGTTGTTTGTTTTTTAATATACTTTATAATCCCCCGGAGGGAAATTATTTAAAAAATTGACTCTGTTAATTAGAGACATGCCACACACACATATGCCTCAAATACACACACATGCACAAAAATGAAATTTTGGAGATGCACTAATGGAGAGATGTCAGAGTGAGGGGGCTAAACATGAATGGACGCCCCAAGCAGTTTGGGGGGGGGGGGTTTGGTGCCTTGGCCAACGGCATCCTGACAGTGCACAGGAAGTTAACTGGCACCTCTCCAGCAACCAGAGTCTAATTCCATGCCAAGACTTGAACCAGTGACCCTCCTGCTCCCTACAGACCTCTACAGACCGAGATACTGCAGCCCAAAGCATATATGAATTGGCGGGGAACTCCAAAAGCTTTGGTCGGCAGTGCCTTGAAACTCTTTTGTGCATGTTCTTTCAGTTTCATTAGCTTCTACTCTTTGTCTCTGTCAATCACTGTCTACTCTCTTCACGTGGACGGTTAATCACCTTACAGAAGATATTGTATTCAGTCGGGGTGATTTTTAGTATATTTTTGTTTGTATTGTATTCCCAATAGAAAATAAAGAAAAAAAACTACCAACTCACAAAATATTAGCCACTACAGGCCATACAGACATTTCTTGTTTTGAACTTCAACGTGCAAACAATTTCTGGCAATGAAAGAGATGATTAAAGCAGAATCTTAATTGGTTTTTCAGGGAATGTGGATCTTTCAGATTATTAGATGAGTGCCTATGGATTGCAGGATCAAGGGAAGGTGTGCCATGCTTTTGTTTGTCTGCTCGTACTCTTAGCTTGGAATCGGCTTGACTTGATCTTGGCCTAAACAGTGCAGATCAGTTGGTCTTAGTTTTGTCTGATCTGGGTACACACTGATCTGGGTACACACTGATTTGGGTACACACTGATTTGGGTTCTCTGTTCAGGTGGTCTTGACTTTAACACTAGATATAAAACATCCATCAAAAATCTAAAATATCAGCAAAAAACCCTGCAATATTGCATGGTGATAGGAAAAATGTAAGTATAGGCCTTTCAGTAAAAATATGCTTTAAATAACTTCCTACCAGTGGGATCCAGTAGTGCGTTAGCTGCACCCCAGCGGTGGTAGAGAGAGGCGAGCTCATGGGGACTGTAGTTTTTGAGGAAGCCGAGAACATCAGCTGGCATCTCTGGTGTCTCTGCAATTAGCTCCTGCTTTACATTCCCTCGAGCCTCTGAAGGCAAAGAAGAGGAGGAGGAAGAGGAGAAGAGGAGGAGGAAGGATTCTGCATAGAGCCTCCATGTGCCTGGGAGGCCCCGTAGTTAAGTCCCGCTGCAGAGCTGTGGGTGATGGTGCTGGGCCTTGTAGCATTAGCCCGGCCCTGGCTGTGGTGGGAGTTGGCGAGTGGCTGATGAGGGGAACCCCTGGCTCGGCTGTACTCTGCTAGACCGTGTTTGCTGGTCAGCATGAAGCCGAGGCCCTCCTGAGGCATCATGTAGCGGTCAGAGATCCGGGATGCAGAAGCAGAACTGGGGCTCGGGGCTGAGGAACGGGAGAGGGCTCTGGTGCTCTTCTCCAACGAGCTGGAAGAAGAGGACGAGCTTCCTCGAGGGTAAACATCCACTTTGGGCCTGAAGCGAGACTGAGGACTCTGGTCCTCCGCATGTCTGCTGGAGCTCCCACCTGATCGGACAGGGACTCTCACAACTTGACTGCCTGAGGTGGATGAGGGGCCCCTGGGGAGTGAGGAGGAGGAGGGAGTAGCAGAGGATGACGAAGGCATGGCTGCTTTAACAGTAGGCTTGCTCTTCTTCACAACCTCAGTGGAGTAGTTTGGGGGCTGGGTGCGTTGGGTGCGAATGGATGAAGGCAGCGGTGGACACTCCTTTCCTTCCAGGACTGGTGGAGGACCAGTACGTCTCTTGGAGGATAAGGAGTTGTCCCTGGAGACCTTGGAGCTGTTTTTCAAGGCCCATTTTGGAGCAAGATTTGAGCTACTGCTGTTGATACGGTGAGCCACAGTCTGGTGCATCCAGAGCACCTCTGGGTAGCGAGTGGAGTGGGAGCAAAAGGAGCACTTGTGGCTAGGGAGGCTCTTCCTGTCCAGGTTAAGGGAGTTGATGCCCCTGCAGCCCTCGGCCCGCACACAGAGATCCACAGGGGTCAGGCTGGGATCGAGTGGGGATGATCGTGCTGAGCGGTGAGCAGAAGGTGAAGCAGAGTTGTTCGACCCCTGTAGAAGAGCCTTCTTCAGTTTGGGGTAACCACTGGGGGTGCCCCTGTCTGAGCTGGAGCTAGGGCTTGGAATGGGGCTGGGTCTATCATCAGAGGCAGCCGGGTGTTGGACACGAACATGAGTTGAATGGGTTTGCAGCTCTGTGGTGACAAAGTCTGACAGGCTGCGGATGTAAGGCTTCTCACCTTTAGGGAAAAGAAAAGAGAACATAATGGTCAGTGAATGTACAGGAAACCATTGATGCCTTATTCATATTGTTCGAGACAAGTGTAGTTTTCTTGCACAGCCACGAGGGGGCAGTGCTTACCAATTTCCCCAAATCTCCCCTTTGTGCTGTATTAGGGTGCTGAGAAACAAATCTCCATTTGTTTCTCCCATGCAAACAAATTATTAAAATCTAACTGTTACTTATTCTATTACAAAGTTAATAAACATATAAAACAATTATAAACAACTAATAATTAAAATTATATCATCTGTTGTTACTGATTCAAGCTTTTATTGGTTGGTTACAAACAACACAGCAGAATAGAGTTAAATAAAGATAATATTTTATTACATTATATTAAGGATTTTTTTTTATTGAATGTTGTGTAACAATAAAACGTGTTTATTTATGGTTAGGTCTTTGAACTGTTTTGGATTAGATTGCACAGTGTTAATTCTCAAAGTGCAGTTCTATAAATTTGCCACAAGATGGCGTTCGTGACCTGTCTGTCCTGGCAAATTAATTTTACTGTTGTCACAGGAAAACTTTATATCTTTCAGAGCGTACAATTTTAGGATTAAATACATAATTACATAAGAGCACACTTTGAGTAGAATACGTTTAATTAAGAGTGGAAGTAATGGGTTATTAACGGTGAATAAATATATAAAAGTCATCATGTTGACAATAAGAATAAAATAAAAAAAAACATAAAACCTTAAATTAAGAGAAACCAGGTAATAGAGCATCCTACACACACACCTAAGTCTCCAATGATGCAACAGCTCAAATTGCACTCCTCCTTCTCGTCTTTACAATAACACCAGCTACCTGCCATCTGTTTTTCATTTGGCTTCCATATTGGCAACAACACAGCTCAAAGTCTGCCAAGGTGAAGCTCCAGGGCTGGGCACTTATATAGGGAAGTGGTCAGGCATGATTTTTCCTTTTTAGCAGGTTGATATTGTTCTTCATTACACCATTAATGACCAGTCGGATCAAGAAATCAAAAAAGTAATTAGTACAGGGATTTCTAATAGTTTTACATACAAAGGATTCTTATTGCCATCCAAATACTGGTACCATCCTGATTTAAAATAGCATAGGTCCCTCTTTCATGTTTAAAAATGCAAACAAGCCTAAAAATACAAACTGAATAACATGTTTGTATGTATTTTATAATGCTGACATCCTCTCATTGCATAAACTGTTGTCTCTCAACATACTGTGTACCCTGGGAACAAACAGAACGAATCAAAACTATCCATGAAACCTTGACATTGAAAGCTACGGTGCAAAAGCAACCTCAATTTCACACTTGTGTAGAGTTGTTTGAAAGAATGCTCAGATGTGAGCTCACACTGTTAAATTTGCGGTGCAGAGATCTAATCTGTTAACACAATATTAACCGCTAAGGGGGAAAGAATCCCATCGGAACGCGCATTCAGCTGAAGTTTCCAATTTGCATTTCCAAAAAGTAACTTAAGGGACATCAGAACATTTGTAACTAAACTGTCCTCTGAATGACTCTTTCCCCATTGCCTCAATCCCTCTCAATCGGGAGGTGACTCTATAAATAACTGATCCCTCAGACATCGGACAGCCTGGCTGGCTCAGTGGTAAGAAGAGTGGATGAGAGACAGTGAAGGTGTCACAAGAGGTGACCTTACATATTTCGAAAGAGTCACAAGGAACAGAGAGTAGGGTAAGAGAAAAAGGATATATGGATGGACAGATTGCTTTCTTGACAAATGGCCTCTTCATTTAATGTATGATATGTTTGTGACAAAGTTTGTCACAAAAACAAAAAAAAATCATGAATTGTCAAGTAACAGGCTTAAATGGATTACATCACAATTCTCATAGCTACTGTTAATGTAGTTTTTGTCTTTTATATTTATATTATTAATTTGAATACATTGTTAAAAGAAAAGAAAAGTGTATCCAAAAAAACAGTGGTTTCTCAATCCAGACATCATGCCAGTGCTTTTGGAGTGATTGAATACAATAGAGAACACCTCTAACCAATTACCAACTGTAATAGGAAGTAATACTCGCCTCCAAGTGCAAGAGAACGTTGCTGTTATTGTGGTTCAGAATTAAAATAATTAGGTGTTACACCACAAACAATGTCAATGAAGAGTAAACAGGAACACAAACACAGATTTTCATGGCATCAATAGGAGAGCAAAAAACATATTCACACACAGATAAGGGGGGCGAAGGGAGTTTCCTGAGACAGGAAGACCTGAAATAGCTCACTGCTCGATCAGGCCTGAAGAAATGTTGCTGCTATTTTTGAATGTCTGTTCTAACAGGGAGGAATGGAAGCAATCACGACAGCTCTTAGCTATCCACTAACCATACCTGCACCAAAAAAAGTCTTTTCCGGGAGATTTTTCAGATAAAATATTAAGACCACAAAGCTCTGAAGTCAAACACGGGGATCCTTCCTTTAGCCTATTTTAGTCATGATTATGGGTGTTTTGCCCTTGCATGGGTAGGCTTTCCTTTTTTTTTGCTCTGCAGTGTTTATTGGGTTGTGGAGGTGAAAAAAATGACAGGCATTCCAAAAATGCCTTCTTCTCTGCTGACATGCCACTGAAAGTCATGAGGTTTAACTTAACTGTCTGCTTTATTGCCTTGTGATAGAAAATAATTGCCCTGTTGTAAACAGTATAGTCAGAGGTAGTTAAATTTTATTGTCAATATTTGATAGTTCTTTTCTGCAGCTCTCTATAAAAGAGCTTCAGCGGGATGCAATGTTGACATTTTACCACACGGTGGCTCCACTTCCCACTCCATAAAGACAGAAGATGTTTACTACAGAGTGACAGTCAGAGGCCATGAGTGGGAGGCTTGAAAGAGGCTACACTAAAAACTCTGCAGAACATTTGACTATTGATGACTTTATACATTCATTCATAACCATTCATAGCAAAGATGTTTTCCTATGTTATCATTATATATTGTTTGAATGCTACATAATTAAGGTTGATTCTGTTCTTTAAAATATGACAAAATATCACTGAAACAGCAGTGGTGCCGTCTTATGCAATTACACAAACAGCAACAAAGGAACCGTCAGTGCTATGATCTCTGTTTTAACTGTTAAAGATCTTCTTATTGTCTTAGTCCATTGGGCATCAAGATTATATGAACAATCAGTGAAATAATCATGAACTCTTTAATTATGCTGAGTATGTGTTTAAATGATAAAACTGGATGATTCTCAAATCCTAAATATTTATCAACCTCTACATTGATTCTTTAAATTTAAGACCATATCCAAGCAAAACATGTAAATAAAAGGGCAAACCTTAGACTAAATAAAAGTAATGAATGTAGCCACTGTGACGTCACCCACTGGTTAGTAAACTCCCTGTTTTGTTAATCCTCCATTTCAACATCTTGGCCTTAAGCCATTTGGCCTTTATTGAGATGAATGAGTGGATGCATTGCTACATCATTATCCTTGTCAATTACAGGTAGTTATGACTTAAAGCATATCCTGCTTGTTTTGATTGTGTTTTAAATTTGATCAGAATTAAAACCTGAAATTAAGAAAAATAGAAAATACAAATTTAGACCATAAAAACAGGGTTCCCCTCTAGTTTCATACAATCAGACTCCTTTCTGCAACAAGCTGAGTTGTCCCTTGCTAGTCCAGTTATGGGTAATTCTGCATTGGCTTTATTTATAAAACACAAGGCTACATAATGTAAGACAGGTTAAACTGAAGTTTCAACCAACCTGTAATATCTCCAGAGTTTGCCGTACCCATCCCTGAGGCCTGGTCTCCAAGGGTCGATCCTGGTGGAGAGTCTCCATACCCTGGAGTGCTGGGCCGGCTAGGGGAGCCTGACTCTGGATCACTGGTCGAGCCCCATCGGTCATCCCTTGCAGTTCTTTCCTTCTCCCCCACAGATGCTCTACCCCCGTCCTTTCTGTGGACCCGTTGGTGGACAATCATCTGGTGACGACTGCGAAACACCTTCCCACACTCAAAGCACTCGTTGGACCTGGCTTGCGACTGAGATGGTCGCCTTCGGTCCTGACGAGAAGAAGGCCTGTACTCTGAGTCGCTAAGGCTCTCTGGTGTCCGATCACCTGATGAAGCATGGCTTCCCAAACCAGAGCTGCTACGTCGCCCTGAGCTGCTGCGTTTCTCTTGACTCTGCAGGACATAACGACTGCTTTCCTTCTCAAAAACCACAGCTGCTTCGGCAAGGGCTTCCTCGCCCATACTTCCTCCCCCATAGGAGGCTTTGTAACTTGGCTCCACGGGCTCCACAACCCTTCCTTTAGTAGCTAATTGCCAGGCCTGGTAGCTGCAGACTGGATCTAGCTCTGGGATTCTTTCACCAAGCACCATGTTCTCGCTCTTATCCCCTTCTTCCCCTTCTTCATGGGTCTCTTGAGCAGGCTGAAGGTTCAGGTAGTCAAGAAGACGTCTTTTAGCAGCTGGTGAGTCCTCATCTTCGCTCAGTCTGTTTTGGCTTTGGGATTTCTTGCAGGAGCTGAGACTGTGGACTTTCTCATGGGCCCTGAGGCTCTCTTTGTTGTGGAACAGGTTGCCACATTTGGAACACACTTGATAATTGGTCGTAATGGAGCAAGTGATAATGTCAGGATCCTGGGTGACATCGTTGATGGTCGCGGGAATCTCGGCCGACTCCGCCTTCGACCGTGACCTGGATTTGGTGTTGTGTGTTTTCATGTGTGATTTGAGGAACCACGCTTCGCGGAAACGTCGTCCGCAGATTCGACAGCAGTGGTCCAGGATGCCTGCATGTTTCTTCATGTGTGATTTGAGAAACCATGCCTGGGAGAAGACTTGGCCACAGGTCTCGCAAGGGAAACTCCCATCGCTCTGGGGTTGGGGCACGTCGGCTTCAGCCACAGCCTCTTCTTTGACAGCGGCCTCGTCGTCTGCGTCTGCTGTTATGTGGACCTTCTCAATGTGACTGAGGAGCTGGTCCTCTCGCAGGGCCTCATAGCCACAAAGACGGCAACAGTAAGGCCTCTGGTCGGTAACTGACTTCTCTCTTTTCACGCTCCTCCCTGGAACTTTCCTCCGGTTCTCCTCACCACTATCCCCGTTGATCATCCGGTTGCATGCCGAGCTGCTCTTAGTCGGACTCGTACCTCCGTCCAGACCTTCTGAAACACTCATCTCCTCCTCCTCGGCCCCGCCATCTTCGTCATCATTGGAGTGGTGGCTAGACAGTGTGCCCAGTTTGTGGCTGCGAATGTGGACTTTGAGGTTGCCCTTCTGAGAGGCTCTGTGGTCACAGTAGGGGCATTTGTAAGGGCGAGCCCCCGTGTGGCGTCTCATGTGCTGCGACAAAGAACTGAGGAACGGGAAGCTGCGTCCACAGATGTTGCAGTCGTAGGTCCCAGAGATTTTGTCATCCTCGCCTTCGATGTCGTTTTCAGGGTTCATTTTCCCTCCGAGCAGCTTCTCCTTCAGGCCTCCCTCCTGGGTCTCCATTAACTCAACACTCTCTCTAGTATTCATGGTTCACACTTAACAACCCTCTCGACCTAGACTCTCACAAGCTCAATGAAACTTGAAACTACTGCTATCTGCGGCAGCACATCTAGGGATATCTAGTGCGTCTTTGTTGGCCAATTAAAAATACTATCTACCTCCAGTCATCCAGAGATCCAGCTGCTTACACGGCAGCTTATTTAGTACCCTGGAGTTACTCAATGTGTCACCATCTATCCATCTTCATCCGTCAGTGAATCAGAGCCTTAAACTAGCTACGTCCCACTGGCATCATAGAAAACCTATGCTGTGTAGCTTCATCATTTGGACTGATATAGTGAAATGTTCAAGGTGAGACTGCAGTTTTAGAATGTCTTAGTACGTAGGAAGCAAAGGTTTCACTCAATTCCCGGTCATCATCGTGTCATTGGACAGAAAATTTGAGGGATCTTTCCATCAGGGTAATCCTTCCTTTCTTCATTATTTCACAGGCCTCTCTTCATTCTCTTCAGTTTATAAGCACCTAAGCAGCTTCCAGATCATACAACAATATCCATTTCTTGCACGTCCTGCAGGTTCTGTATATCATCCACCTAGAAAATGAAAGAGAAAGAGGAGACAAAATGGGACAACGGTTAGAGGAAACACAAAACATTTAAGTACAAGATTTGTCGTGATAATCATAAGGTCTACTACCAACAAAAAAGGAAATTTGCTTCTTCTGAATGGATTACACATGCAAACACACATTTGACTTGTGAGCTACAGATTCCATACACGGTTTGGTTCAGTTGATACAAAATCTGTTTGATGATCAAACTTGTAGGACACAATGAGTTTCTGCCGTTTTAAATACCCAAATCCATTTGGTGAAAGCTTATAAACGTTTTGGGCTTACAGTGCATGTGAGAAAGTTCTGGTTTTCCCTGATTCTCCTGCCCCCTGTAGACAAAGCAGTGCTTATTTTCTCTTCACTGATCTTGTCCTGTACATGTGTAAGCTGTGTTTTCTAAAAAAAAAAAAAAAAATGCTCATCTTGCTTTACTGTGTTTTTTTTGTTTTTGTTTTTTTCACAGTGAATTTTTGAAGTAGAAACATGTTTCTGCAGCTTGTTGTAATACTTTGTCTGACACCTGCCCTGGAGCAGAAGGTATGGGGCATTAAAAAAAACTGGACTAAGAAGGATTCATAAATCTTATTGCTGATGGTTGTCTTTGCTTTTGTAGGTCATAGAGACACATCAGACACAAATTCATTCTCTTTCCAAACCAGATGCAAACCTCTCACCGTATCTTTAAATGAATTTAAATTAACCCACTACATACCTATTTCTATGCATGTGTGTGTGTGTGCATGTGTTGTGTGTTGTGAATGTCGATGACTACTGCAGGGCTAGGGGGGCTCGCACACCACACTGGCTGAGTCGACACTTTACACAAACAGGGGGGGTGGGGGTCAGTGTTGGTGAGGGAGGGGGAGACTCTATTCACATCAGCAAGATCAGCAGTGCCACCATATTCTCTCCCCGTACTGGCCTCATACGCCCGCCTCAACTGACACCATCACATGACAGGGATCTTAAGTACACAACAGGAAGTGGCTCTTCAGACAGTTTGCTTTGCTCTATTTCTCAGACTGGAGTTGAATGGGGTCGGGGGGGAAGGAGAGAGAGAGTCAAACAAAAAAGAAAGAGAGCAAAATAAAGAGAAAAAAAAAAGAACGGCTTTCACACTGCTGTGCTTTCTTTAAACGCTGGACAATTTTTCATAATTTGCATATTCTCAGAAACATTTAATTTGTTTGCTCAAATACTGAAACCTTAAAATCCTTTTAGTTATACACATATTGAACGTTATTGTATTTTTCCACATCAAACTTCTGTCAGGTCTCTTTTCACACATTTCAGTATGGATTATTGGTTTTTGCTGCGTGGTAGAATTCTTATCACAAGAATCAGTGAGGGTTGAACACACCCTTACTCCTTTCTCGTTCTCTCTACGCTCATTGGAAACATCATTAAATAAGATCTCTTTCTGTTATAACTGTTGATCACTGACACGTTTTTTACTGGGGTATTAATTTCAGCAGATGCTTAGCGCCTGAAAGTGGGACTATATGAAATGTGACTGACAGCATTATTACAGGCTATTATATAAAGTGCCAGGGCCCATAAGCTGAGTTACTGCCAGCCTCTAATTATAAGTGGATAATTGATCATAATCATAAGAGGATAAGGTGGTGTAGGAGGGGAGTTAGCACAAGAACAATCATATGTCTTAAACTCTCACACTGAAAATGACTACTCTGCACCAGAGCCACCTATCTATCCAGAATGATTTATGCTATTGAAATCGGCGCGGCCTCAATGGTTCCCCGTGCTTCCTCCTGGAGTGCTTAGTAAGCTAAGGCTTTCAGCTAACAAGTGCTGCTACAGCCAGAAGTGCAGCTGTGGCTGGCATTACTGTGAAACTTCATTTATTTGCAGATATAGATCATTTAGTTTCAAGGCTTTGAAAGCACATTTATCCATTTTAGGATCATTGCCCTATAAATGGAGGTCACATGCTGTCAGTCAGTTTATCACATTTTCTACATATATCTTTCTGTTTCCCAGAGGATGAATCAAAGTCCTTATAACTTCAATGCTACCCAAATGAATCCTCTACAGCAAGTTCACATTTGTGGATATTTTCTTTAATAAATGAATTGACCAGGATGCCATCGGTAAAGCTATCATTTTTGGAATTTGGATGAATTCTTATTTGGTTTGGAGACTTCTGACTTAACATTATCAGGTATAATTTTGAATTTGTCAAACACGTTGATTTTACAGTTAATCAGAAAACCCACAACCTTTAAACAGCTCCAGCTGTAGCACAGACTAAAGCATGGTAGCATGCTAACTAGCTCAAAGCATCACTGTGCTCAAATACAGCCAATATATATCTGATATAGCACGAAGGGGCAACATAGAACACAGTTGATGATAAAATAATTAATGAACAAAACTGCTGAGCTATTTCACAATATTGCTTTATGATATTAATTATCCTGCATACAATTCAAATCCTTTAAGGTGAGAAAACAAAATTAAAATTATTTGAGTCTGTTGCCATACTACACATTCATTTACAAACCGGTACAGAGATGAAAGAGACAGTAGTGCTATTACTGACATGTAATGTGATACTCTAAGCTGTATGCACTGCACATATAAAGGTTCTCCTAGAACCAGCAAAGACTTAGTCTTTGTATATAACTTTGTTAATTTGCATCGTACCTATCAAATAAAGGAGCTTTCAGAATTAATTCAAAACTGTTTAGAAAGGATGAAACCACAAAAGTGAATAATTTAAGGAGAAAATTTCAGGCACCCTTAAACGTAGTTTATATTGTAGAGAGAAGGGAGAAATCATACATTGACAAACACTTGAGTGAGGAACAGCAAAGCTGGAGGGGTAACATCTAACACATGACATTAGAACCAATCAGGTGATTATGGACATAAACCAGCAAAAACAAAGCCACTTCAATCCATCCATCCTCTGTGGGTTTCCCCTCCATCTGTCCCATCTGCTCCCTGCCTACACATCCTACTGTAACTCATTAATACCATGGAGTTTCTTCCACTTCTTGCACTAAAAACAGGCTAATAATCGTATTTCCTGTTAAATGGCCTTGCTGATTGGGTGTCAGAAGGTCTGGGGGAGGGGGCGGGGGCGGGGGGGTTGAGTCTATTCAACAGTAAGCCTGTCATCCACCAGACAGTCGCATGTGCAAATTGAAATGTAATGAGATTATCCCCCAGAAGGGAAACAATGCAGGCTCCTCGCTGAAGGGGCAAAGTGTGTGTGTGGGGGGGGGGGGGATAATGGCAAAATGGGCTTAAGGAGGGAGAAACTGTCCAGGAGAGCCGTACAAGATTAGGAATCATCAGAGTCATCAGAACAGAGAGGAGGCATCAAAGCTCTGCTAAAGACTATAATAGTGCAATAAATAGATTCAGTGTCTTCCTCAAGCTTGTAAGAACACTTCAATTTGTCTTTGACATCCTCCAGGCATCTAAACACAAAAATAATGACATTATGGATAAAGTTAAGTTTCAAATGATTTTGTATTTCTAACAGTAGTGTGACTGTAATGAAAACTGACTTTTTGTTTATTGCAGGAACATGGTCTTCCTTCAACACTTCAGACACGTCTAACCCTTGCTGGGACCGTCATGTGTCTCATGTCAGTCATGCCATTAATGGTCACTTTAGCTGCTTCACCATGACTCACTGGTAGTGAGTGGAGCCCTACTCTCAGCTGATAATGACTGCAGTGTCAAACATAAAAACAAACTGTTCCTTGTACCCCCCCCCACCCCACCCCCCTTCCTTTGCACGCTCAACTTCTGCTGTTCTGCTGTTCTGCTTTCTGAATGCTGCACCATGGCAGCTGAGGTGGGCGAAGAGGAGGAAATCCACTCTTATTTTCCCATCCATGCACTACATTTGCAGAGCAGCCTGGCTATTTCTGTGCCTGCAGTCTCCTGAGGTTCACATCTGGAGTGAGTTTTGAAACAAACAGTGTCAAACTGTGCAGGCGGGCCAGCAGAGAGAACCTGCTTACAGCTGTACAGCTCTCTGTTTTGTAATTGTTTTCACACAGAAGAACTGTGCCAAAGTCAGATTTAAATTTTGTCATCTATACTACCTTGAGAAAAAAACCTACAATCATCAAATATAATGAGTAAACTATATAATATTTTTTTGTTTATTATTTTGGGTTATTGTTCTGTCTTACAGCAAAGTTTGAAAGAAAACTGCCTGTTCCTTGAAAATTGTTTGTTATCCATTGCAATATGCTCAATAGCTCCATCTAGAGGCCCCCTGGACATTCAGCCTGCAGAACACATTTGTTGCACTGTATGAAAATAAACCTCAGCATCTTTGACTTTATGGATAGACTGGAGTATATTATTTAAAAAGTTAAGCAATTAACAAAGAGCTGTATAATATTTTAGAAAAGAGCCACAGTCTTTAGCACCTTCTCTTGATTGAATCCACACTGTCATCCAGCCAGAAAGCACCTTCATCATAGCAATCATCTCAGAGGCTGCGGTGACACAAATCTACAGCACCCAAGGGTGCTGAGATTGGCTTTCATAACACGGTGACTCACTCATGCTGTCACCTGATCACTGATAATGACTGCAGGTCATTCTCGTGTGGGACATCCTTCAGCCATGATGGGATCTCTCCCCCCCCTCCCCCCACAGGGACGAGTATTTAAGTTTTAAGAAAAGTAGAAGGGACACACACACACACACACACACACACACACACACACACACACACACATGCACAAACGCTTACATACATATATACAAGGAAACTAATGAATCAAGAAGCAAAACAGTGGGGGCTTTTAGTGTTGTCCACACATCCTTTCAAAGTCTATATGTACACTGTGGGCTTTTAACACTGTTTCATACAGGCAGCATTGAGAGCTTAACGGCCCATACACAGAGCTGCTCACACACACACACACACACACACACACACACACACACACACACATGCACGTACAAGCACACACACATTAACAC